TATTCGTCTTGACTGTAGCACTCCTTTATATCGAAAGCCATTGAGCTCGTCACATGGTAGGCCTTCATGGCTGCCAATGTTGACGACTCAACTTGTGCTTTCGCACGAGACACAATATCCTGGTGTCTTGCCTCGAAGTCTTGCCTGCGCAATAACGCGTCAGCCAAGACATTCGACTTACCCGGCTTATATTCAACTTTGAAATTAAATTCAGAGAAGAATGTCTCCCATCTCGCCATTCTCGGCGAGAAATGCGGTGAATTTATAGCGGTCCGCAGTGATGCGTGATCCGTATAAACCACAAAAGGTTCGGAGCCCAAGAGGTGCACCCGAAACTTTACAAGGGCATACTTAATTGAAAGTAGCTTCTTGTCATGCACAGGGTAATTCAGCTCGGCAGCTTTTAAAAGCCGAGACTGATAAGAAATGACACGGTCAAGGCCGTTGTCATCCTTCTGCATGAGCGCGCTGCCGATTGCAAAATCGCTTGCATCGCAGACGACGCAAAGGGCTTATCCGCGTCTGGCAATGCCAAGACCAGTGCCTCTAAAAGAGATTGCTTCACTGATGTGGACGCATCTACTTGCTCCTTTGACCAAGTCCATTCTGTATCCTTTTTTAAAAGGTCAGACAATGGCTTGGTCTGCTCCGCATAATTCTTGCTGTACGTATGCAAGTAATTAGCGAGCCCAAGGAATTGGCGCAGATCCTTCACATGTCGTGGGACTGGCCATTCCTTTACAGCCTTTACCTTTTCTGGGTCTGCTCGTAACCGTGTGCACCTACAATGCAGCCCAGTACAGGTATCTCGGGGACCCCTATTACGCACTTTTGCAAGTTCACGTATAATTGGGCGTCACCCAGAGTCTGCAACACAGCGTCTAAATGACGCTTGTGCAACTCTATCGCGCTCAGACCGCCCTCCGCCCTACTATGCACGAATACATCGTCAAAGTAATGGGGCGCGTAGGCACGGTGCTGACGCATCACGTGAGCTACAACTCGGTTGAATGTTGCTGGAGCTTTTTCAACCCTTGTGGCATCACAAGCCACTACCACAGCTTACTGCTTGGGGTGCTTACTGCCATTTTGGCTACATCAGTATCTCTCATGAGAACTTGATAGTAGCCATCCTTCAGATCCAACGCGTAAAAGATAGTTGACTTTCCCATGGAGTTCAACAAGACATCTTTCCGCGGGATCGGCGTTTGAGCTGGAATGGTGGCCGTGTTCAGCTTATTATAAGCATGAAACACGCGGCATCCACCTGTTGCTTTACGCACACAGAAGGTCGGGCTGCAGTGAGGCGACTTTATCTCACGTTCATGTCCCGATTTGGCTCGCTTGTCGAAGAACTCATCGATGTAATCGACCTGTTCCTTCGGCAACGACCATTTCCTGGTCACACAATACTTGGTGCCAGGTTCCAGGTCAATTTCGTGCCTGATGCCCCTATCGACCGGTAGACGGCTCGGCACTTCTGCTGGAAACACATCACGGTGTTTCCACAGAACATCATAGAAAGGGCTGTCCTTCAAGGCATACCATCCTTGAGCAGCGAACCGTTTCTTTTTGTCGGTTTCCAAGACGCTCTCATCCATTGTGGATGAAGAGCAACAGTCCACCACGTTCTCTTCTGGAACTGGTGCGACTATCTCGTGGATTTTTCCTTCCTTTAGTTCGGACAGGAACAGATCCCACGTCATCTCCGAGAGATTGACTATCTTCACGGCAAATGCCAAGACAAGTTGGAGCACCTCAATTGAGGATGCCTCCGGCATCTTGTCTTCTACGACCTCGAACAACCCGCTCTAAGGTCCGTTCTCTTGGACCGAGACTGATCCAAGGGTCACTTGTTTCGACGTGCCCTTGATCGTCTTAATACGTCTGGTGCTCGTTCTTCGAGTCACCACGACCTTTGACCTGGAAGAAGGTGTCGTTGCTATCTTAGGTAACGCACTCCTTCCAGCCGCACCAGGCTCTTGGCTCTGTGCCGGTTCCTGTGGCGCTTGACTTCCTGTCAGCCCACCATCAACTGCCACAGGCTTTTGGCTCTGTGCAGGACTATTAGACGCATGACTACTTGTCATCGTCCCATTCATTACACTAGTCTTTTCGACCTAAGCAGGAATATGTGTCACCTGGCTTCCTATCAGGGCACTTCCCACTACACCACTCCTTTCGAGCTTGGTATTACCTAGTGCCGATTGACATGCCTTCATCGCACCCTCGACTGTGTTGGACACAGCATTAATCGCATAAGCCTCTCGCAAGAGCACATCCTTTCCCGTGTCTTGCGTAGAGCTAGCGACTGTGCGTGTACGCCAGTCTATCCATGTTTGGTGTTTAGCCAACCAAGGCATGCCTAGGATGAGGTCATACGGACTCTCCATACCTAGCACTGCAAACTTCTCTTTACAAGAAAAGTCACTAAAGTTGAAGGCGAGTTCAACTTGAACTCCCTCCGATTTAACGAGCCCCGCCGTTCGCTAAACGAACGATCGCCTCTTCTCGCTTGCCATCCTGGCAAAGCGACTCATAACTCGCCGGTCTCTTTTATAGAGCCGCGAATTTCACAATGTTTTGTGATGCACCCGAATCAACGAGAAGGGTCATCACTTGGGCATAGCCTCGTACTCGAGCGCTATAGACCAAAAGTGTTGAGGTTTGACCTTTCGGAACCTCAGGGACTATGATACTAATTTGTTCAATCACTCTGAGCTTAGAGGTAGCTTCAGAGTCCGACGGGCATCCCGCCCCGACTGCGCTCCCGCATTTCCCGGCCCAGATTGGGCAGGTGCTTAACCCATGCGACGTGCACGGTTCCTCAAACCACCCTTCGGGTTAAGAAATTTATTGATGGGTGCCTTGGCCCCAGCAGCAACTTTGGCATAGCAGCAAGCCATCATATGGCCGCGCTTGCCGCACTTGTAGCCGATAACATCTGCATTGCCTAACTCAATAGGAGTGGCATTCGACCTCTCGGCCGACAGCTTATAAAAGTCTTCGCCAAGGCGCTGTTGTAAGATTGCTCTTCAACCAAGGCTGTAGACGGACACTTTTACGAAGTTGCCTCGTGATACTTAGCACACACCTTCAGCACAAGTTAGGAAGCGGTTAGACCGTCTTACCTTCGCGTGCGAGGGTAAGAGGGTGGTTATGCGGTTGGTCGACTGCTTAAGCAGTCGTACCACCAGTTGCCTCTCAATTAAGCGAGAGCGCACCGAACAACTAACAAGTGTCCTACTTACATTACGCAGAAGCTTACTCAGCTTCTCGTGCGCAGTAGACAGTGTGTTGTACATTCAAAACTGAGTTATATTTAATGAATTATAATTAAATATTAAACTTAACTACTGATTGGCTAATTATATAAAGATCGGATACGCTACTCTTTAGAAGCGTATCCTGACGTGTGAGCTTGAATGTAGATTTAAGCTCGCTAATGACGTCCTTCTGGGACGTAGCGATGCCTAGCTTCAACTAGCGTCATCCCTTCCCATGTGAATCCATCAATGAATATCACATTCACGAGGGTGGATCACATTTGTGTATCGCACCCAAGTGACAGGTCAAAAGTATCATGGATACTTTTAGACCTTTACATTAAGTATATTACTTAATGTTTACGTGTAACTAGATACCCTGTTACAACTTAAGCTCAGCAAAATCATCGGGGCGGTTGCAGAGACTGCAAGTTGAGTGAAAAAATAATGGTATAACACTTTGCAATCTCCATGAAAGATTTTCTACATTAAACGTACATTAATTTTTTCTGTACACTTATCATCGAAGGAGCCGATTATGAATAAACCGAAGTTACAGTACCAAGGAACCTAATGTAGAATAACAGTATTGTAGCAGTAGTTTGCAAATTAAGGGCCTCAATCTTAACAGCTTTCAAGTCTATCGTCTTCTACTTATATTGTCGCACCATCTACAATCCCAATTCTTGCACTCTGAAAACAGGATCATATGACGGCTCAAGCTGATATGACGACAAATTAATCAAGTTTACACCTTCACTTCACACTCAGGCGCACTCCATGGTCGTCTACCAATGTTTGCCAATCCAATCAGCCCTCAGACTGTATACAATGTTTTTGCTCTATTTGCGGACTACATAACAATTACAACCATGGCAAACTTGGTACACGCTGTTAGACGGTGTCGTATGCATACAATGCAGTCGACTTCACAATTTCAGGGTGAATACGTCGAACCCTTACCTAATATCTGCAACTAACACCCGTAGCAATCTCGGAGGTACCAGTCTCGCTGGACAGACGGTTGTCCTTGTACGGCATCGACTTCGCGTGGTATGCATCACAAGCAGTTGATACCATAGAAGTGATATGGTTATTGTCAGGAGCATCTGAATGTGGTGGAGCTACCATCTATCGCTGATGCAGCCCGTGAAAGGTGCATCGACACGGCAATCGCATTGACATTAATCAAAAGTATCATTTACTAGTGTTTGAAAGCTGAGATTGACCATGACTAGCAATACTATCTCCAATTCGTTTGCACCGAATGGCTTTATTCTTGCATAGCCACGAAGCGTTCATGCCTTTCCATTGATGTCATGCCGAGACATTGACACATTTTGTTGCTATTGGCAATCTTACCGATCATGCGCAGTGCTGCTGGTCAATGAGTAAGTACATTGTGCTGAATACAGTGGGCAACGCTTCGACCAACGACACACTACAGCAACAAGTCTTCGCAGTTGTTGTGAGTACAAGAGGCTCAAAGTCCGTCATAGCCGACGCTATAATCATCTTATGGTGGCTAGAGCCTTTGTGACGGGAATATGCAGCTTGGATCCCAGTTTGACCTTGATGAGTCTAGCAATACCGATGCAAGAAAGTAAGAAATCGGGAAGATACTTGTGCGAGTGCGACAAACTTTGGGCATCTTTAGGCTCTATAAATCTATCTCAAGTTGATTTGAATTGATCGAGTACTCTACATTTGCAGAAGCGTTCGATTCGATCAGCGCTATAACAAGCATTCGAGCCATTTTAGAGGCTTCTTTGCCTCGTTCCATCGTGAATCGCCATTTAAAAACCTCATGTCTTCATGGTTCGCTTTTGCCAAGTAAAAACGATCTCTCCAGGTTTCACCAAACTTCGGTGAAGAAAACCCTCCAACGCAGCTGTCGAATTCTACCATGCCATCATTGTGGTGAGAGTGATGAGGAATCGATTTCGATAAAGCCCAATACTCAGCTTGGTGCTTGGACAGAATTCCGGAGCTTGACTTGCTACACATGATTGCAAACACGTTGGTCTGGTAAGCTTCCTGTGCAGCTACATACGCTTCATCCAGGCTCTTGGAACTGTATTCCCCACCCTGGTATGCCAGCGCTTTCAACGCGGTGCTCGGAGGGCATCTCCCCGTAATCTTTCCAAATTCTTCCCAGGTCGTGGAAGTATTTCCAGCACAGGACTTCTGGGTAAAATCAGACGCCATACTACCCTTCATAGGTGCCGCCAAGGCCATCCATGTTGAGCTAGAGTCTAGCGTGCAAAGTCCGTTGGCAAGTGCACCAGCAAGCATGAGATTACCCATTGAGTGCGTAACGACGATAGTGTCAACGATCTTAACATCTGTACTTCCGTCGCTCACTGCCAGGACACGATCACACACTTTTTGCTGTAATATTTTGCTAGTCCACGGATCATTTACCGTATTCAGGTGTGCAAATTTGAGCGATGAACAGCACGGCGCGTGTTTAAACAAGTGGTCGCCCCAATATTTCGTGAAGCTATCCTGATTCTCTCGCATTTCGACCTTTACCCCCAAACCATGAACGAAGATACACGGGCGAGGTGTTGATTTGCACGAACAGGACGACGAAGTTGTCGACGAAAATATCGACGAAAAACTGAACGCAGCTTTCAAGCTTCTCGCATTGCCTTGAATCAGTTTTCCGGTCAACTAATACTTTCCGATCTGTGTAATGGAGCTACGAGTCGCCACTGTGTCGCAGTTTAGTTCCGAAGTCGAAGTCGGAATTCTAATGTTCAGGTGGGCATTGAGATACTCAACCTTCACGTCCATATCACTGCCGTGCATCGTAAATCCCAGCGAATCCAATGTGCACAATGCAAAATCGATGTTGTTGATCGTAACCTTGAATAGATTTCCATTCGGGCACTCCACCGCACTTTGAAAAGTTCCTGCCTCACTTGAGACAGCAGTTGCTTCGTTTAACGCACTGATGATAGTGTTAATCGGTGGAAGTTCGTCGAGTAGGGAATCCTGACATTGCATGGTCACATTTTCAGTACAAAAGTTTGAGACACTTGAAGACATACCAATTCCATTGACAAGGTAGTAGTTGTGCACTGTATCGCGTTCAGTGAATGATGAAAAGACATCGTAGAGTACACTGTCACCCCCGTCCAATTCGATGGGGTTTGCAAAGACGGACAATTCAGTCAAACCTTGTACCCGCACGGAGCTACGTTTGAGCGTAAATTGGAATTTCAAAGATGGCAAACCGATTGTTTTCGTAGAACTCGCCTGAGTGTAATACCCAGACCATGATGTAAAGGCAGCAATAATACACAAACGAACGAAAGCCATCTCGGTGCAAAGTGGTGTTAAACTGCTCGTGTTGTTGCTCCAAAAGGAAAAATGCACAATGCTGGCTCGACTCCGTCAATTTGTAGCTTACGGACAGCGATGGAAGGTACGTTCATGTACACACAAAACAGCAAATCTCGCTTTCCGTCATCGTGCAGAGATGCAGAGATCCAGTCTTTGTGAGAAAGCAGTAATTATCAGTGTACTGTAGCAATTGTCTAAAGTGATGCACCTCTAGCTGATAGCTTGCTCCATGCTACGATACAGGTTTACTGATGCCCATGCTAACCGTTAAATATCTTTTGGTGTAAAGGATATCAGTCAAAACAGGCTCTACTGTTACCATACTTTCACCGATGCGTGTCTTTAAAGCGTGGAATCGTAGCACCGACTTTCTGCTACTATAAGCTTTTATGTTGCAGTAGTCGGTGCAAGAATTGTTGCAATTCCACGAGATGTAAGACTTAGTACCGACATCTCCACAACAATCACTTTCCAAACCGACAACAGATAGAGACGCGACGCGCACTTCCCACTTCGCGCCTTCGAGCAACAACGGCCAAGAGACGAAGACCTTCAAAGAGCCGGTCAACCGGCCCCCTCCGACCAGGGCGGGAAGTCCCTCCAACGGGAGGCCCAGGATAAGAGGGGGGAGGTTTTCCCTCTGCTGCGTGCGCTATGGGGGGCAAGCGCAGCGTGCGAACCGTAAGGGGAGCACCAACCCTGTTACCCCCGGGGGGAGAGGATCGACGACCGCGGTTATCATTCCCTCTTTCCCCAATAGTTCCTGCTATTCTACGTCAGCCTTCAAGCCGCCGATTCGATCGCCGAGCGCGAATCTCGGTCCCACGAAGTGAACTTGCCAAGAACGTGAATTGATCGGCCCCGTCCAGGTGCATCAGCGGTCGATCGGGACTGATCGGTGTGGTGCCCGGCGCTTGTTGCGATCATTGAGCCACTGTTTACACCTCGGGCTGGATACCCGATTCCACGTGCCCTTTTCGGAGTGTCCCCCGTGACGCCCGACGTCTCGAGCCAGCAGATTGAGCCAGCGAGGCGAAGAATGACGAAGTCCTGGTAGAAGCACTCCAGACATCTTACCAATCCTTAATGTTTGAAATAGACGGTCTGTTCTTCTCTCTTCTCTCTCAGATAGAGACGCGAACCTTTACAGAGACGCGGACCTCAACAGGACCTCCACAAAGAACAGTGACGGCGAACCGGCTTCCCTAAACCTTCCCTGGGGGGGACGTCCCGCCCAAAAAGGTCCCTCCCAAGGAAGGTTAAGAGAAGCCGGTTCACATAGTGGTCAAGACATAAAGTCAAGGGGGGGGGGCTTCTCCTTGCTGCGTTTGCGTTTGAGAGGCAGCGCAGCGTACGTTCAAGAGGCGGATTGCTGTCCGCAGTTTATCCCTGGGCGCTGGAAGGAGCATTGACAATACATCGATTCCCCCTGATCGTACCATTCACGGCCAGCTAAGCCGCCGGTGTAAGCGGGCGCTTTATAAGCTGCCACGTACGTGAAGCACACACCGTCGGGTGATGAATCTGGCAAGACCGATGCAGGAAAGTAAGGACTCGAGAAGATGATAAGACAAACTTCGTTTTGGAGAGAGTTACGTACGATACCCGCCCACTAGACGTTTAAGCTTTCAAAGGCACCCCATAGTTATTTTGGTTTATGGCATAAACAAGTTGTATTGCTGTAAGCAGTAGACTGACTATCTGTATAGAGGCGCTTCATAGATTTACCCCGCTACATGCAAAACTATGAACATCTTTTCGATAAAAACGTAACATCTTTTTCTGATAAAAAACAAAAACGCGCTACTCATCGAATTCTTGTACTCTGTAGCCGAAAAGGAAAGCCATTAGCACATCTTCAACTAAAAGTGCATGGCAATGCATGTAAGATGTTTATGTGGAAGCACTGTCGATTTTGATTCTCTTAAAACTACTATTGCAGTCTGTGAAGTATCGACAATATGGAATTTGCAACCGTAAAAGCTACTGTAAGCGTACCGGTATTTATTGAGTTGGTCGAACTTTAACGAATGTACACTACATGTATCTGGTTTTTCGAGTTTGCTGCATAAAGGGCAATTAATAATTATATATGAAATAGTATGGAAATAAAAATACCATAGCGTATGGGAATTGCTATTTCCACCACACTTTCTGCTATTTTGACCATATCATCACCTTTTTACTATTTTCCACCACACCATAAATTCTGTTTAAATATAAAATAAAATAAAACACCACATCACACACATCCCTCACCACCCCACACCACCCACCACACTAAGCTCTGTACTTATTGTGTTGTAAGAATCTTGATGTTATTTTTACAATTAAAACCTAACAAGAATTATTGCCGAATACGACCGCAAACTTGAGGTCTCGTGTGCTGACATGGGCATTGCGGTGCGTTCTGGCTTCTTGAATTCTATAGCGCTAACTTATGAACATTTTGAATATTTTGCTGCTACACATGAAAAATTGTGTGACGCATTACGGCGTTTCCGCTGGGGTTGCCTAATATATTTGACAAAGCGGCGCAATAAATTTATAGCAATGAAACTAGTAGTGCTATCGATATTCATCAGGCTCTCCAGACATATATGTATGACTGAAAGGTACCTGCCATACCACCAACGGCAAAGTCCTCAATCTTGACTTCTCTACAAAGAACAAAAAGAGCAAGAAGAAGGGTAAGAAGCTAATTCAAATGGTTGAAGAAGGTGGGGACCACAACAGATGAATAATTTAAGCTGGTTGTAGTGACGCACAATTTTTTTAAAGCGCTTAGGAAACTGTGTATGAGCTGATTAATGTGACTTTGTCACACCCGATCAACATCTTGACCCATGGCCAATATTAGTAGCACATTTACTAAAACCAAAACCAGGCATCTATGATGCCTGGTTTTTCATCATTGTTTGATTCAACGTAAAGTTGCTGACTTCTTGTTTAACTTTTAAAAGGTCATCCTGCAATTTCCGTCACCAGTCACGTCCGTCAATTCTTCTCCAGCACCGAAGCTCAGAATGCTGACGACGGTTTATGTGTTAAGTTTAACCATTATATGGTGTGGTGGTGCTATGGTAGTGTTTGTTTTGTTATTTAAACAATAGTTATGAAATAGTAAAAAGAGTGCAAAAGACATGGTGTGGTAGAAAAATAGTAAAACGTGTGGTGGAAATAGTAGTTTCCAAACGTATACTATACGCATTCTAAAGGGTAAAGCAATTGATCATTTGTGTAGTGTTCGCAATCTTTTTGCTGACGTATGGCTAAATGAAAATACACACGAACGAATTGATTGTACGTCATTTGCATCACTCAACAAAGTCCTTCCCTTTGTCATAGATACAAGTGCGTGTATTGTCTTATAAATAAGCACAATGGGCGAGTTGACTGCGGCCATGCCTCTGCCTGCGGCCGTTGCTAGAGCTCCGCCCTTTTTTCCCGCTACGTCGCCATCCTGGACGACAGCTGTAGTCGAGCCAAATATACATGCACATAAAAGATCTGTGATGATTGCAGTAAGAACAGATGAAGCTGCATCGCAGATAAAGAAGTATAATCATAAAAGCGTGTAAAACCGACTTGTTTGGCCTGCACAGATGTTGTCGTTCGCTCCATGATCGTAAGTCGTAATGATGCAAACAACCGGCACCGAAATGGACAGAATAATAGACATTTACTTGAACTGCTTCTGCTCGCACGTGCATATGTTCTTCTAGATGATGATGCTCAGATGACCGATTTGTCGGGATTTATTGATGTTATTGATCTTCTGGTTGTAGTGTCACCCTCATCCATTTACCATAAAGCGATCGTTCTCCTTGTTGCGGCTTTTCTGCTGGCTCAGTATCCCCTGGAAGGAGTTGGCTTCGTGGTACCGGGGTTTGCGCTCAGCAAATTGGCCGGCAGCTTAGCTTGCCGTAAAGCATAGGAGCAGGGGGAATCGATGTTTTGTCAATGCTCCTTCCAGCGCCCTGAGATAAACTTCGGACAGCGGTCCGCCTCTCGAACGTACGCTGCGCTACCTCTCAAACGCAAACGCAAAAGTAGCAAGGAAAAGCCCCCCCCTCCGTTGACCTTACTATGTGAACCGGCTTCTCTTAACCTTCCTTGGGAGGGACCTTTTTGGGCGGGACGTCCCCCCCCAGGGAAGGTTTAGGGAAGCCGGTTCGCCGTCACTGTTCTTTGTGGAGGTCCTGTTGAGGTCCGCGTCTCTGTAAAGGTTCGCGTCTCTATCTGTTGTCGGTTTGGAAAGTGATTGTTGTGGAGATGTCGGTACTAAGTCTTACATCTCGTGGAGTTGCAACAATTCTTGCACCGACTACTGCAACATAAAAGCTTATAGTAGCAGAAAGTCGGTGCTACGATTCCACGCTTTCAAGACACGCATCGGTGAAAGTATGGTAACAGTAGAGCCTGTTTTGACTGATATCCTTTACACCAAAAGATATCTAACGATTAGCATGGGAATCAGTGAAACCTGTATCGTAGCATGGAGCAAGCTATCAGCTAGAGGTGCATCACTTTAGACAATTGCTACAGTACACTGATAATTACTACTTTCTCACAAAGACTGGATCTCTGCATCTCTGCACGATGACGGAAAGCGAGATTTGCTGTTTTGTGTGTACATGAACGTACCTTCCATCGCTGTCCGTAAGCTACAAATTGACGGAGTCGAGCCAGCATTGTGCGTTGTTCCTTTTGGAGCAACAACACGAGCAGTTTAACACCACTTTGCACCGAGATGGCTTTCGTTCGTGTGTTTATTATTGCTGCCTTAACATCATGGTCTGGGTATTACACTCAGGCGAGTTCTACGAAAACAATCGGTTTGCCATCTTTGAAATTCCAATTTACGCTCAAACGTAGCTCCGTGCGGGTACAAGGCTTGACTGAATTGTCCGTCTTTGCAAACCCCATCGAATTGGACGGGGGTGACAGTGTACTCTACGACGTCTTTTCATCATTTACTGAACGCAATACAGTGCACAACTACTACCTTGTCAATGGAATTGGTATGTCTTCAAGTGTCTCAAACTTTTGTACTGAAAATGTGACCATGCAATGTCAGGATTCCCTACTCGACGAACTTCCACCGATTAACGCTATCATCAGTGCGTTAAACGAAGCAACTGCTATCTCAAGTGAGGCAGGAACTTTTCAAAGTGCGGTGGAGTGCCCGAATGGAAATCTATTCAAGGTTACGATCAACAACATCGATTTTGCATTGTGCACATTGGATTCGCTGGGATTTACGATGCACGGCAGTGATATGGACGTGAAGGTTGAGTATCTCAATGCCCACCTGAACATTAGAATTCCGACTTCGACTTCGGAACTGAACTGCGACACAGTGGCGACTCGTAGCTCCATTACACAGATCGGAAAGTATTTGTTGACCGGAAAACTGATTCAAGGCAATGCGAGAAGCTTGAAAGCTGCGTTCAGTTTTTCGTCGATATTTTCGTCGATATTTTCGTCGACAACTTCGTCAGCTTGTTCGTGCAAATCAACACCTCGCCCGTGTATCTTCGTTCATGGTTTGGGGGTAAAGGTCGAAATGCGAGAGAATCAGGATAGCTTCACGAAATATTGGGGCGACCACTTGTTTAAACACGCGCCGTGCTGTTCATCGCTCAAATTTGCACACCTGAATACGGTAAATGATCCGTGGACTAGCAAAATATTACAGCAAAAAGTGTGTGATCGTGTCCTGGCAGTGAGCGACGGAAGTACAGATGTTAAGATCGTTGACACTATCGTCGTTACGCACTCAATGGGTAATCTCATGCTTGCTGGTGCACTTGCCAACGGACTTTGCACGCTAGACTCTAGCTCAACATGGATGGCCTTGGCGGCACCTATGAAGGGTAGTATGGCGTCTGATTTTACCCAGAAGTCCTGTGCTGGAAATACTTCCACGACCTGGGAAGAATTTGGAAAGATTACGGGGAGATGCCCTCCGAGCACCGCGTTGAAAGCGCTGGCATACCAGGGTGGGGAATACAGTTCCAAGAGCCTGGATGAAGCGTATGTAGCTGCACAGGAAGCTTACCAGACCAACGTGTTTGCAATCATGTGTAGCAAGTCAAGCTCCGGAATTCTGTCCAAGCACCAAGCTGAGTATTGGGCTTTATCGAAATCGATTCCTCATCACTCTCACCACAATGATGGCATGGTAGAATTCGACAGCTGCGTTGGAGGGTTTTCTTCACCGAAGTTTGGTGAAACCTGGAGAGATCGTTTTTACTTGGCAAAAGCGAACCATGAAGACATGAGGTTTTTAAATGGCGATTCACGATGGAACGAGGCAAAGAAGCCTCTAAAATGGCTCGAATGCTTGTTATAGCGCTGATCGAATCGAACGCTTCTGCAAATGTAGAGTACTCGATCAATTCAAATCAACTTGAGATAGATTTATAGAGCCTAAAGATGCCCAAAGTTTGTCGCACTCGCACAAGTATCTTCCCGATTTCTTACTTTCTTGCATCGGTATTGCTAGACTCATCAAGGTCAAACTGGGATCCAAGCTGCATATTCCCGTCACAAAGGCTCTAGCCACCATAAGATGATTATAGCGTCGGCTATGACGGACTTTGAGCCTCTTGTACTCACAACAACTGCGAAGACTTGTTGCTGTAGTGTGTCGTTGGTCGAAGCGTTGCCCACTGTATTCAGCACAATGTACTTACTCATTGACCAGCAGCACTGCGCATGATCGGTAAGATTGCCAATAGCAACAAAATGTGTCAATGTCTCGGCATGACATCAATGGAAAGGCATGAACGCTTCGTGGCTATGCAAGAATAAAGCCATTCGGTGCAAACGAATTGGAGATAGTATTGCTAGTCATGGTCAATCTCAGCTTTCAAACACTAGTAAATGATACTTTTGATTAATGTCAATGCGATTGCCGTGTCGATGCACCTTTCACGGGCTGCATCAGCGATAGATGGTAGCTCCACCACATTCAGATGCTCCTGACAATAACCATATCACTTCTATGGTATCAACTGCTTGTGATGCATACCACGCGAAGTCGATGCCGTACAAGGACAACCGTCTGTCCAGCGAGACTGGTACCTCCGAGATTGCTACGGGTGTTAGTTGCAGATATTAGGTAAGGGTTCGACGTATTCACCCTGAAATTGTGAAGTCGACTGCATTGTATGCATACGACACCGTCTAACAGCGTGTACCAAGTTTGCCATGGTTGTAATTGTTATGTAGTCCGCAAATAGAGCAAAAACATTGTATACAGTCTGAGGGCTGATTGGATTGGCAAACATTGGTAGACGACCATGGAGTGCGCCTGAGTGTGAAGTGAAGGTGTAAACTTGATTAATTTGTCGTCATATCAGCTTGAGCCGTCATATGATCCTGTTTTCAGAGTGCAAGAATTGGGATTGTAGATGGTGCGACAATATAAGTAGAAGACGATAGACTTGAAAGCTGTTAAGATTGAGGCCCTTAATTTGCAAACTACTGCTACAATACTGTTATTCTACATTAGGTTCCTTGGTACTGTAACTTCGGTTTATTCATAATCGGCTCCTTCGATGATAAGTGTACAGAAAAAATTAATGTACGTTTAATGTAGAAAATCTTTCATGGAGATTGCAAAGTGTTATACCATTATTTTTTCACTCAACTTGCAGTCTCTGCAACCGCCCCGATGATTTTGCTGAGCTTAAGTTGTAACAGGGTATCTAGTTACACGTAAACATTAAGTAATATACTTAATGTAAAGGTCTAAAAGTATCCATGATTACTTTTGACCTGTCACTTGGGTGCGATACACAAATGTGATCCACCCTCGTGAATGTGATATCCATTGATGGATTCACATGGGAAGGGATGACGCTAGTTGAAGCTAGGCATCGCTACGTCCCAGAAGGACGTCATTAGCGAGCTTAAATCTAGATTTAAGCTCACACGTCAGGATACGCTTCTAAAGAGTAGCGTATCCGATCTTTATATAATTAGCCAATCAGTAGTTAAGTTTAATATTTAATTATAATTCATTAAATATAACTCAGTCTTGAATGTACAACACACTGTCTACTGCGCACGAGAAGCTGAGTAAGCTTCTGCGTAATGTAAGTAGGACATCTTGTTAGTTGTTCGGTGCGCTCTCGCTTAATTGAGAGGCAACTGGTGGTACGACTGCTTAAGCAGTCGACCAACCTCCCAACCACCCTCGCACGCGAAGGTAAGACGGTCTAACCGCTTCCTCGCTTGTGCTTAAGGTGTGTGCTAAGTAGCACGAGGCAACTTCGTAGAAGTGCCCGTCTACACTTGGTAGCACTAGTAGTCCTTCCCACGACCCGTCTCTCTGAGCGTGCGTGTGGTTGACATGGTCCTTAATATGGACTGGAGTGACTTCCCTCACCTCTCCCAACATCATAGGGAGTTGGCAGAGCATATGGCGCAGGGACTTGGTGAACAAGCCCTGGTCAACCTCTTGCATTGTCCTCCTGAGCAACATGTTGCTCAGTTGGAGCAATTTGAGGCGTTTGTGCTCGGACAGCGTAGAAACGCGTCCGAGGTAAACAGCCAAGCCACCGCTGAGTCCATCAATAAGACTCAGGATGAGCTTAGGCTTGAGCAGGCACGTAATGAGGCGCTCAACAGAACTGTTGAGACGCTCTCTGCCCGGCCTACTCAACCGAGGCCCATTCGGATGGACCCTCCGAAGTTCGATGGAACTAGCCCTCACACGATTGTTCACTGGCTATTAGCAGTGGAGCAATGTGGAGTGGCGCAGCTCATCGAAGACGACACCAGAATGGTGTCGTATGCCATGTCCAACTTGCGTGGCAAAGCGTCAGAGTGGGCATACTCTGCGCTGATGGCTAATGCTGATGCATTTCCATCATGGGCGATCTTTAAGGCAAAGATTCGCGCCATGTATCAGCCGCCTAACAACGAAGTGTTGCTTATGGCGCGCTTCTTTGGAGCACGACAGGCGAAACGCTCTCTGCAAGAGTTTGTGCAGGAGATGCGTTCGCTGTCGGCGTCCATTAATGGGGAACCGATACCAGAGCGTATCAAGGTGGCCACGTTCATGAATGGACTTAGGCACGGCCCATCGCGTCAGGCCCTTTTTAGAAAGGTGCCAGCGACGATGGAAGAGGCAATTGACATTGCCTTAGTTGAGGAGCAATCCTACAACAGCGCCTCGGCGACAGCCTATTACAGGCCGTCGTCCGAGAAGTCTGATGCCACTCCTATGGAGTTAGGCAATGCAGATGTGATCTGCTACAAGTGCGGCAAGCGAGGCCATATGATGGCTCGCTGCTATGCCAAAGTAGCTGCTGGTGCTAAGGCAGCCAGCAAAAGGTCTCCCAACCCGAAGGGAGGTGCGAAAAACCAGCGTGCACGACGCACGGGTTCAGCACCTGCCCAAGATGGGTCGGGAAATGCGGGAGCGCAGTAGGGGCGGGATGCCCTACTGTCGCGGACTCTGAAGCTACCCCTAAGTTCAGAGTGATCGAACAAATGGGTAGCATAGTCCCTGAGGTTCCGAAAGGTCGGACCTCAACCCTTTTGGTCTATAGCGCTCGAGTACGAGGCTATGACCAAGTGATGACCCTTCTCGTGGATTCGGGTGCATCACAAAACTTTGTGAAACTCGCGGCTCTGAAAAAGAGACCGGCGAGTTATGAGTCGCTTTGCCAGGATGGCAAGCGAGAAGAGGCGATCGTTCGTTTAGCGAACGGCGCGCTCGTTAAATCGGAGGGAGTTCAAGTTGAACTCGCCTTCAGTTTCAGTGACTTCTCTTGTAAAGAGAAGTTCACAGTGCTAGGTATGGAGAGTCCGTATGACCTCATCCTAGGCATGCCTTGGTTGGCTAAACACCAACCATGGATAGACTGGCGTACACGCACAGTCGCTAGCTCTACGCAAGACACCGGAAAGGATGTGCTCTTGCGAGAGGCTTATGTGGCTGATGCTGTGTCCAACACAGTCGAGGGTGCGATGACGGTATGTCAATCGACACCAGGAACTACCCAGCTCGAAAGGAGTGGTGTAGTTGGAAGTGCACTGGCGGAAAGCCAGGTGACACATATTCCTACCCAGGTCGAAAAGACTGGTGTAGTGAATGGGGCGATGACAGGTAGTCATGCGTCCAATAGTCCTGCACAGAGCCGAGAGCCTGTGGCAGTTGATGGTGGGCTGACAGGAAGTCAAGCGCCACAAGAACCGGCACAGAGCCAAGAGCCTGGTGCGGTTGGAAGGAGTGCGTTAGCTGAGATAGCAACGACACCTTCTTCCAGGTCAAAGGTCGTGGTGACTCGAAGAACGAGCACCAGACGTATTAAGACGATCAAGGGCACGTCGAAACGAGTGACCCTTGGATCAGTCTCGGTCCAAGAGGACGGACCTACGAACGAGTTGTTCGAGGCCGTCGAAGACAAAATGCCGGAGGCATCCTCAGTTGAGGTGCTCCAACTTGTCTTGGCATCTGCCGAGGAGATAGTAAATCTCTCGGAGATGACGTGGGATCTGTTCCTGTCCGAACTAAAGGAAGGAAAGATCCACGAGATAGTCGCACCAGTTCCAGAAGAGAACGTGGTGGACTGTTGCTCGTCGTCCACAATGGACGAGAGCGTCTTGGAGACCGACAAAAAGAAACGGTTCGCTGCTCAAGGCTGGGATGCCTTGAAGGACAGCCCGTTCTATGATGTTCTGTGGAAACACCGTGATGTGTTTCCAGCAGAAGTGCCGAGCCGCCTACCGGCCGATAGGGGCATCAGGCACGAAATTGACCTGGAGCCTGGCACCAAGTATTGTGTGACCAGGCAATGGCCGTTGCCGAAGGAACAAGTCGATTACATCGATGAGTTCTTCGACAAGCGAGCCAAGGCGGGACATGTACGTGAGAGCAAGTCGCCTCACTGCAGCCCGACCTTCTGTGTGCGTAAAGCAACAGGTGGATGGCGCGTGGTTCATGCTTATAATAAGCTGAACACGGCCACCATTCCGGCTCAAACGCCGATCCCGCGGAAAGATGTTTTGTTGAATTCCATGGGAAAGTCAACTATCTTTTCCGCGTTGGATCTGAAGGATGGCTACTATCAGGTTCTCATGAGAGATACCGATGTAGCCAAAACGGCAGTAAGCACCCCAAGCGGTATGCTGTGGGAGTGGCTTGTGATGCCACAAGGGTTGAAAAATGCTCCGGCAACATTCAACCGAGTGGTGGCTCACGTGATGCGTCAGCACCGTGCCTACGCGCCCCATTACTTTGACGATGTATTCGTGCATAGTAGGGCGGAGGACGGTCTGAGCGCAATAGAGTCGCACAAGCGTCATTTAGACGCTGTGTTGCAGACTCTGGGTGAC